CGGGGCGGGGCGAGCGAGGCCGGTTTCACTTTCTCTTTCCCTGTAGCGGGCGCAGGACGCAGGCAAGTGTCGGGCGCGGCCCCCTCCGGCCTCGGTCCTTACTATCGGGGGGTGGGGATTCAGGGACAAGCCTTCACATCTTTGCCGCCTAGAGGCACCCAGCCGCGTAGAAAGGGGGGCTTAAGGACATGTTTAGTCGCCGCCTTAGTCTGAGACCCCCAAAAAGGGACGGTCCGAACATCTTGGTTTAGACAAGATATGTTTTATTGGAGAGATGGGGAAATTGCAAAAATGATTAATTTTTTTTTTAATTTTTTTTTTGCAGTGTCGCGGTGGGCCTAATAAAGGGTTTGAGGCAGGGGTGGGCAAAATGCAGCCCCGGGGCCGGTTGTGGCCCGTCAGGCGGTTCGGTCTGGCCCGCGGGGCCCCTAAAAAATTTAGAAAATTAATATTTATCTGCCCCTGGCTGCCTCGATGGCTTGCCAAAACTCAGTAAGTTGCCCTCTGCCCAGAATAACTGCCTGGTTTAAGGACTGGGCTTTGGCGCCATGTTTGCAGCAAAGCTTTGAGGACGTAGCATTGAGCCGTGTTATGATTACAACTCTTATCTGTGCGGGAGCAGAAAAATGCCACGCCGCGATTTCTGAAGGGAACAACGAGGAAACTGGGTGCTCCCTGTGTGTTCATCTCCCTGCTTTGCCTTTTGGTTTCTACCTATTCTACCCATTTCTTCCTCATTCCTACCGCCTACCACGCTTCTAGCTTCTCTCACTCCTTGGAGTCTCAGACCAGCAGAGACTCCCTCTGCCTGACTAGGGGTGATTGCACCCAAAAGCTTGCTAAAAACTTTTCTCCAACTACTCAGCCGGTTTAATAAAAGGGATCATGTCTCCGCAATGGTCCTTAAACCTGCCTGGTTTAAGGACTTGCAGGGCTCTCCAGTGCAGTTCTTGGGAGGGGACGTGCCCTGTGTGTCCAGTCACAAGGGATGAAGTTGGCGTTGTGTCGTTCTCCGAGGCTCAGGGAGGAAACGTGCGCAGCGTGGCACATCTCGGTTAGCGCTGCTCTCACCGTGGTGGCGTGGAGTGAATGTGCACCTAGTTGCCGTTTAGCTGGTTGCTGCATGCTCCGTGGTTGTTTTTGCTGAGCGAGAGCAACACCCGGGTGTTGCTTTCCTGCGTGGCCAGTAGCAATGTGCATAGGCATTTCAATCTATTCTTTCCTTTGCATGGGAGTGCAATATGGGACTTCATGTCCTGCTGAAGTTCTTCCTTCTTTTACCTAAATCTGATATAATCTTCCAATTTTGCAAATCCACATTCTTTCCAGATTACTGAGTTATTTGAAACAAGACTAGATTTACCCCAGTCTATCACATACCATTGCTTTTTCTGTTGAAGTCAAATTAAAATCTACTGAAACTGGAAACAACTGGGGTGGGGGGGTTCCCTTACCTTACTTTTCCAATTACAGGCTGAAAGGACAGTGATATTCATATTAATGCTCTCTTAGTCTCGTTTCCGCAGTCCTGATAATGCATCAGCAATAAAAGTCTACTTGTGTATCTGTTATCAGTTGAGTTCAATAGGATGATGTGAATAAGTAAAGATTGCATGCATGAGCAAGCATTTTCAGGAATGGGTCTGAAGTATGTGAATGAGCAACAAGTAGCCTGCTGGCTAATACTTAAAATAGAAATAAGCTTTTAACCTAGTAAAGAGTGTGTTTTCTACTGTGCCATGGAAGCCTCTCCGCTGACCTTAGGAAAGGTATGCTCAGCGTACACATCTTAAAACAGGCTTTGACTCAAGTATATCAATTGACATAAAAGACTGCTATGATGTCTTTGAGTAATGTGCTTTTTTAATGAAAGAAAAATATGGTTTTCTGGTTTTTTTAAATAAAAACAAAACCTCAATGTTAGGAAAATATAACATGCATAATGTGATAGACTCAATTTTAATTTTCTTTATTTTTCCCGTCTCTATAAAAACAGTTTGCAGCATTTTTCTATACAGGCAGTTGAGTGTGCCTGTGTACATGTGCCTCCGTGAGAGAATTTGGGGGCATATCTTTCTGAGTTTTCTGGATGCTTGCAATTTGGGTGATTGCTACACAAATAACAAATAAGTTGGTGTCTAATTGCCAGTGTTTCCTGCTTCTTTGCAAACATACTTGCTTTCAATCCACAGAAAACACCTTAAAAACATGCTGTAAGGCATTTTGCCATCATTTTTTTTATTTTTAAATCTTAGTTGCAGTTTGTGGGCAGATTTTATTGACTCGTTTTATATGCTACCCTTCAGTCTAAGTCAGCGGTGCTCAAGTTTTCGGTCCTGTGGACCAGATGAGTGGGGAGGGACCACTCCACAGCCTGGATTGGCCCTGAGATGCCCGACACCACCCTGTCCCTGCCCTGATCGCCAGGATTTCAGAAGTGGGCCCCCTCCCACTGGGATTTGTCCCCAGGGGCCTTCACCAGCCAACTGTGCCCCAGCACACTGGGATTGAGTCCCAGGGGCCTGGCGTTGCCCCCCTTGGCGTTCCATACCGGGCTTGGGGCCTGGAGCTGCACCTTAGTCTCTTGTGTGCTGCAATGGGGCCCTGGGCCTCGTGCTACCCCCACCCAGCCCTGCATGCTAAAATTGGGTGCTGGACCCGGCGCAGAGCCCAGGGCTCCCCATGGGTCCATGAATTTGGCGGTGGGGGAGTGTTGCCACTCCTCTCCCACCACCAAATTTCCAGGCATATGGGGAGCCCCCCCAGGCTGAATATCACAGGGCCAGATCTGGCCCACGAGCTGGGGGTTCAGTGCCCTGGTGTAAGTCATCTTTGAATAACTACATAAAGATGTAACAGGGATAACTGAGTACACACACTGTCAGACTGGAGGATCCAAAAATCGATGGCTACTTTTAGCCTGTACAATTTTACACAGTGTAACTGGCTTACTAATTTTATTAGCAAATATATTTGGTTTAATGATTGGTGTTTTTTATTAGGTTTCTTTTTATATTTGTTTGTGTAGATGGCAGAAGAGCTGTACGCTGACGGGCCTCAGCTGAAAATGGAGGCTGAAGAGCTGGATGATACAGTGGATGCAAGGCCAGACAGAAGTGAGAGATTTTTCATCTTTGGAAAGTAAGCAATTTTGTTCTCAATTGCATTCAATCGGCAAGCCTGCTTAAAGTGGACTATATCCAGTTCTTCTGTTGTCTGGAAGGCGTCAAGTGTTGCTGGAGGATAACGTACTAAATCTAGTATAAAAACTGATAAAAAGTCTGGAAAGAAAGTCCAAAAGTGCTGCCTTTGACTATACGTACTCATCCTCTGCACCCCAGCAAAGTATTTTTCTATCTAGACAGTAGTTAATTATATTGCAAGGAGAAATGCAGACTGTGCTGCATGATGTTCCTTCCCTTCACTGCCTTGATTCAAAGTGAAAATGAGAACGAATCCTAGTTGGCTAAATTTCAGATTTTATTAATAAAAGCCCTCCTAAGGCTTTTTTGAAAGTCAAAATTTACCTAAGTACATTGAACTTCAGCCTGGTTCTCACTTCTCACATGGCTCTTAAATGGAGGTAGCAACTGAGAACTGAAAGCACTGTTTTCACTGCACTGAGTTTGGCTATTCTGCATCATGAGAATCCCCAATGGGCTACTGAGGACATCCTACACCCATCTCCCTCCAAAAAGTTTCACCAGGGCCAAGGACGTAGCCTGTTACCCAAGAACTTAATCTTCTTGGGAGCTGCAGAATCATTTTTACCTTAATTTTAAAGAGTGCAGTCCCCAGTGAAGCATAATTTTACTTACCATAACTTCATAGGAAGTATCGTTTGCGTTATGTTAGACCTCTTCTTTTGGAAAAATAGCCATCTGGAATTTCTGACGGCCCTTAAAGTGAGAGAAGGACTATTCTGTGCTGAGGGTTTCTTGGTGGTGGTGTTTTTCTTAAAAGGGGCTTTTATAATTTATGCCCTCTGCACTATGCAACCTTGAAGTGAATGGCCTAGCCCTGACCAAGCGATGGGAAGGCGTTTGGCGTTTTATTAACATTGTAATTATGAAGAATGGGTTAATGCACAGAGTCTATAAGGTTTAAAACCCTTACCTAGGAGTCAGAAGAGCTAAGTATTCTTGCAGCAGAGTTGCAGAGTTGACCTTCAGCAAGTAGCTTCAAACTTTTCCTGCTGCTTTTCTTAAAGAAGTGTTTTATGAGGCTTAATTAATGGAAAACAATATAAAGCTCTTGTGGAGGGTGTCATAGAAATGTCAAGTCTTCCCATCGGTGCACTTCTAAAAAAATTGAAATATTCCTGTTTAAGATTATACCCACAACCTGCAGTGCTAGCAGATACAAGCGGAGGCTGTGACATTCTGCCTCTAAAACCTGAGCAGCAGTTTTGAACGGCATATTTTGAAATAAATGCGGCTTGTGTTTAAAAAGCAAAATTGCTCCTCTCTATGGGGAAATAGTCTGGTTCCATTATTCTGCTACTTGCAGTTTATCATTTTTAGTGAAAGACAAGAATCAGTGTCTTAATGTGCTGAGAAATGCTTCAAGCAGTGTAACTGCCTGGTGTACCAGGCATTTGTATTTTGGGAACGTTTGGGGAAACGTTATCTTCCCCATAGAGCAGGACTGTGCAGCTGAGAGCTCCTGAGCTGCATGCAGCCCACAACAGGGTAAACTGGCCTGGAGGGCTTGCTAGCGGTGTGCCACTTCTTCTCCCCCTCAACCTCACCCCATACTTATTGCCCACCACCAGATTTGGGGGCATCTGTTGGCAACTAAAATCAGAGGCGCAGTAAAAGTGACAGGTGCAAACGAGAACGGTGGTGGTCACCCCTTGGGTTTTGAAGCCCCTCCTTGCTCCTGCCTCGTTTGTAGGGTGAGAGTGAGCCACTGGATTGGCAGCATGGGCAGATTTGCTCTCTCCTTCCTGTTTGGGGAATTTGCCTCTGTGTCATTTTATCTCGTTAAAGAGCTTCTAGTTCCAACCTGATATTTCCAGGAAATGAAATGTTTTTTAAATGTTACCCAATCTTTCTGTTTGTTTGTTTGCCACTAGATGGCAGACAACCCTTATTTTTGCCGCACTAAAAGGAGAGAACGCATAGCAGAATTGATGCCGTTTTTATTTTTCTGAGCAGAAACAGGCCAGGGTTTTCATAACAAGTATGAAAGGCGTTTTGGAAGGAAAAGAGGGTTGCTAATTTGAAAAAAAAAAACAAGCGCTCACTTTTCATGTAAGGTGAACAGCATATCTTCTTTGTTGTTTGCTTCCTATGATCCCATCATGTTTTTCACACCTGGATCTCTTTCAAAGAAATCCATGTCTCTGAAGGGTGCTGTAATATCCTCCCTTTGTGCTTTTGAGCATCACTTGTCTTTTCAGAAATGTGGCCTGGCCTACTACTTCAGGTATTTTAAACTACACGTTTTCTCTGAGCCTTCCTTCCTATAAACAGCACATTCTATTGTCCATCACTTCATTCAGTTGTAGGTAGTAGACGAAGATGTGAGCCACCATGATTTTTACCATGCAAAGGCCAGAGTGAAAAAGAAAGAAGTCTGTTCTCCTGGAAGTCAATGGAGCTGGGTTTTTTCCTGTGAAATAGTTTTTTAAAAACTACCAAATGTTCCTAGAGTTCAGCAAAATAGAGTTTTCTCTCTTAACAGCCCTGGTGGTATTTCTTGTGAGCTCAGTGAAGTGAAGCGGGATTCAGTAGCAGGCAGGTGAAGGCTGTCAGGCTTTGGAGGCCAATTTCACATCAATTCACTCTATAAAACTGTTCTTGCCCTCTGATGGATGGCTTTTACACTTTCCCTATGCCTCTTCTGTCTGTCTTACACCCTGTATTCCACTTCTCAGTTGGAAGTTGTAAACAGCATTTAAATAAGTATATGTGCAAGGGCTTTTACAAGCCAAGAGCAAGTGAAGCTGAAAACCTAATCAGTACTTTCAATTCAGTGCCTTTAGTTCAGAAAACTTAAATGAGTGAAGTGTCACAAAGCCCTGGTGAGCTGGGTAAGGGATATATAGAGTGTGGGGTTTTTTTCCTTTGCTGAAGTGAAGCCACTTTGAGATTGAATACAGCATCAGTTTAACCTGATGTAGTAAGCCTAAATGTATTTTAGGAGCATAAGATAAGAGGGGTACAATGCCTACCTGAAAGCAATGGGAAATTTTTGGAGTCAGTTTATAACTGTCTTTGGGTTGACATTTGACCCGAACAGTAGGTTAAACAGCCTTCCTTTTGCATAGAAAAGTACCTTGATTAGTGTGCTGGGCCTTCGATTATATAATGACTTGGGAAGTGCTGTCTGTCAAATTTCCACCACCACTTCCCACGGCAGATAGGTATTCCTTTAACATTTCCCATCTAAGTCTTGACCTGGCCTAGGTTGTGAAATCATATAGGATTACAGGTAATAGAGGTCCACCGTATCTATAGATACTTCTGTCGTTAATAAGGAACCAAAATATAAAAGTATAACACCGTGCACTTTGCATTTTAATTAATTTGAGAACTCTCATTTTCATTTAAATTGAAAATTTCTCTGTCAGAAATGTCAGTGGGTGTCTTGTTCTCTTTGTTAATGGTTATGACATTCCCATTTACATAAAATTAGCTTTGAAAGTTTTGCAAACTGGAATACAGATAGATGTATAGAACTTTTTCAGAGTTCAGGTTTTGCACTAGACAATAGAGCATCGGGTTTTGGTGACCATGGACTGAAATGAAATATGAAGTAATCTAATGTAACTGTACAGCCTGTTTCAATGTGTCAGCAAAACAAAAATCAGCTCCTTTGTTGGCATATGGTTATTCTGCTGAGGGTCTGCCTCAAAATGTCCTGACAAAATCCTTCACTTTTTTGAGTGTGCGTGAGCAGAGGTGATGGGGGTGGGGGAGTTCAGTGCACTTGCATGAAGACGGAGTCGTGTAACTTGTACCGGAGAGGGAGGAATAAGTTGGTAGACCCCCTTGTTCACTGGGACTTGAATCGTGTTTTAGCTTCTTGTACACAGATTAATAACCAGTTTTGACACCAGCATCATAGATGCAGGAGGATTGGGGAATTGCCTTTGTGTCAATCTTACTCATTTGTTGTTCTTTCATCCTCCTGGGAATTATTTTCCACCCACCTTTGATTATCTTTTCTCTCTTTCACAACAAGATGCCTCACAGCAGGGGTGTGGAGATGATTTTTTTGTTCTTCCTTTCAGATCCATGTACATTTTTAAAGGTTGCTCACTCTGCATTGTTCACGCCACTTAAATGCTGAATTTTTAAAAGGTTATGGCAATTCCTGTGTGGGCAACAGTATACACATTTTGGAGGATTTTTTATAAAGTAGTCCACCAGATTTTTCCTATTCTGATTAGTCCAATTAGTCTTTTTGAGTGTTTTCATGAGACTGGAACTGTACCACTAGAGAGTGCCTCTAGCCAGGCCGAGGCAAGTATAACACTTCATCACGGCTCATCCAGGACCTGTTGTTCCCTTATAGCATGTACAGTAAATGCTCAGTTCTCTTGAAACTTTACCTTTAGCATAACAGTTTCCTTAAATCTGAGCCAATATTTCATTCATGCTTTCTGGCACTTTCCCAGGTGATGCATACAGTAAATTCTCAGATATCTTTGATTTATATCTTTGGTATTTAAAGCAACAGGTCAAGTATCAGGTGAATTGCTGTAGTTAATAGAAAATCTGTCTCTGCACAACAGCCAGAATTAACTTAATGCAGAGATTAAGAGAAAACTAAACTGTCATACATGTGTCATTTATTATTTTTAGCATTTCTAAATAAGCAGCCAACAAGGAAGTGGAGAAATGTAAGCAAAAGCAATAATGAGTCAGGACTACTTAAGAGTGCATACGTGAAAAATAACTGAGAATTAAGAGTGCTACAAGTTTTTTAAAATTGCATATGGTAATTTAAACGTTTTTTTAAATGTTCTTTGTTATACCGGGGCAGGGGCAAAGGCAAAGGAGAGGGTAGCAGTGTGTATTCAAAGTTGTGCCGTTTTTCTACTCTCTTAAGGATGGCTTTGCTACCCTCCTACACTGGGCAGTGCTACAGTCAGAGTGATGGGTGTCTGTGTTTTGTGCCTGTCAGCGAAGGTGGATCAGGCCTGCATGACCTCAGCAGCTTGCTAGGCCACAGCCAGGAAGGTTTGAATAGCCCCATAGAAAAGTCCAGCGTGACCCACTGCTGACACAGGCAAATCTTTGGGCCTGAATGCAGAGCATCCTGGTTCTCTCTCCGATGCAGCTCTGAGCATGGTGGGCTCCTAGCATTACTAAAGAAGATCCCGCTTGCTCTTGCACACAAGGTGCAGTTCTTTTCCGATGCAGAGTGGAGTGCCACTTGAAGATGAGCCAAGGTACTGTAAAGGGTTGTATCTCTCCCTCATCTCTCTTGCTTCCTTTTTGGGAATGTCACGAATGGATACCCTAAAAGAATTCAGCTTTGTTCTCCCAACCCACTGTTGCTCAGCTGGAATACCGCAATTGTGAAATCTGCCCTGGAAAATGTGTATTTGTTTTGCTCTGCTGTGTTTTGTCGTCTGCAGAAGTAGGAATGCACCTTTTTGTTCTGTGACGGTTGAGAAGAGGGGCTTGGTGTTGGTGTTATATAGCATAATTAGGAATTATCTATATCTGTTACGCTGCCTGGGAACTAATCCAGCAAGACCTCTGTTTCCAGAATGCCCATGAGAAGTACACGAATATACAGGATTGAGCTATAAGGTGGAAAACCCTTGCAGATGGGGACTTGTATTCTTTAATATGTAAAGCATGTAGTGACTTTTGAGTGCTGTATAAATACCATATAGCACAGAAAAGATACAAATGGCACGCAGCCGACTGTCAGTGCAGCAAATTAAGCTTCTGTTTATAGCAGGAGTGTAAACATAGGGTTAACAGTTAATTTATTTAATTATGAATGTGACACCCCTATGTTATCATGTAAGAACGCAAATAGAGATTTGCAGCAGACAACATGTGAGCCCAAAAGAATAGGAAACTGCTGCCTGCTTTTTTAAAACTATTGCAAAACGTGGACATAATACTTGGACATAATAGACTGTGTCTGACAATATTTGTACAGTATGTAGCTGAGTGAGCCCCACTCAGCTTCCTATACTTATCCATATATAGTGACTAAAAGTGCAGACGCTCCAGCTCACACCATCTATCCACCCAGAGGCCCTGCCAGCGACCCCCTTCTGGA